AAGCCCTCTTAGCCCTGGACGCCCCCTGGGAGCCACGGCTCAGGGCTCGAGTGTGTGTGTGTGTGTGTGGGGGGGGGGCTTAGGACTTCCAGCTGCTAGTCCCTCGTCCCCCTGTAGGCAGCCAAGGACCATCTCTGGCTTGGCCTCCCTGGCACTCTGGGGACTCATGTTGGCATCGGCCCCCCAGGGCCCTCGGCTGTCTCCTCAGCTAAGGCCCTCACTGCCACACCAGCAATGCACAGGGTGTGGGTTAGGCTGCCAGGGCCTGGGGGTGGCTCATTATCCAGGGAACCAGGGCCTAGGGGGTGCAGTGGCCAACCAGGCTCGGGAAGGCCCCACTGAGACAGCACAGGCAGCAGGGAGGGCGGAGCTGGGCTGAGGAGGGAACTGCTGGCTCACCGTCTTGGGGGCCCCTCACCCCGGCTTGCCCCACGCCCAGCCCTGGCGCCTTCTACTCCTTTTCTACTTCAAATCCTGCTTCTGCCACACACTCGGGGTGGGCCGTGGGCCGTGTGAGCACAGGCCTCTACACAGGGTTCAGCTCCAGAGCCCAGGCCCAGGAGTTCCCTTTCCAGTTTCCACTTTGTCCTGAGACTTGACAGCCTTCACGTGGCACCAAGGCAGGTCCAGGAGAGGGTGCTCAGACAAGCACATCAAAGCCTGCATCCTCTCCGAGGGCTTCGGGCTGTGTCAAAGCACACCGCCCACCTCCACTGCGACACACCCGACGGGGGGAGGACGCTGGAGGCCAGTGGGGGTCAGACCACTTCTCAGTGGCATCGAAACAGCAGGCATAGGCAGGGGTTCCCAGGCATGGTGGGGACAGCAGACGGGCCAGCATGTGCCTGCGTCCCGGATCTGTCCTGTCACCTCCCAGAGCCTTGCCACGGGGACGTTCCTTTGTCTGGACGCAACGGCACGACTGGGCTGGCTGCCAAGGGCCCAGGCCTTGCTGTCTCCAGAGGCTCAGGACTGGCGTGCATTCACGTGCCCCATGGACTTGGCACCATAAAGGCACAGCTGAGTCACCGGAACGCTACCACAGCAGCAGCAAACAAAGCGATTGCAAGGTCACAGCACCCCGCACAGGCACGCTAGCACGGTGTCAGCACTGCCAGCCGCCAGAGGTTGCCATGACACTGTGCACCGCTGGGGCCCCTGACCCTCAGCCTGAGGCTGCTGGCAGTGCCAGCCTATCTGCTGGGGTCGTTCCTTCACACCAGACCGCACCTCATAGCTGCCCACTCCCAGCTCTTCCTGCCATGCGGAGCCTTCCCCCGACCACACACAAGCCAGCACCACCGGAGCGCGTGCCAGTCGAGTAGCTCAGGCGTGTGATTGGCACAGCAGAGGGCAGCGAGGCTGGCCCACTGCCCAGTGGGAACTGGCCTGCAGACACGGAGGGCAGCCTGAGGGGTGGGGGCGAGTCCTGAACCCTCGCCATGGAGGACTGGGGTCTGGGCAGATCTGCCTGGACTGTCGGTGCAGTGGCCCTCCCTGCCCAGTGCCCCATCCACTGCCCTGACCGCCCAGCAGCCCCCCAGCCGCTCATTCCTGGGTGCCCCCGCCATTGGCTGTGTCCCCACCACCTGGAACTCGACTCATTGAAGACCCTGTAGCTGCTGTGGCTGCAAGCAGTGGAGGGGACAATGGTGCCCTGGGACCCACACCCACGGGGGGCCTGGAGACAGCTCTAAGCACCCCTGCGGCCCCAGGGTCACTTGAGGCCACCAGCTTCCAAAACAGCAGCCACTGTGAGCAGTCAGCCACACCCCTGGGGCCCACCTACACTCCCGGGGCCCACAGTTGTGCAGCCGGGAGCTGACCACTCCGCACCACATCCTGGGGAGCCGTGGCCCAGGGTACTGCCCTGCAGTCTGGGTCACCACTCTGACAGACCCTGGCTCCAGAGCTGGCCTAAGGCAGCTATGGCGGGGTGGCCCTGGGCCAGGCCTTCCCCAGCTTCCTTGGCTGCCCTGGGCATCCCCTCCCACCACCAGAAACCCTCTCGGCCCTGAGTCAGGCCTGGACCTGCACTGACCACACAGACCTTCGGCAGCCATGATGGTGCTTGTTACGGTGGACATGACACATTTGAACAAGCCAGACCCAAGGTCAGCACACCCTTCCTGTAGCCCCCGGCTCCCAGGCTGCAAGGCCTTGCCGTGTCCAGGGTGCCTGTGGGGACCCAGGGTCCTTTTAGGGTTTCCATCTGAATGCACAGGCTGGAGGTGAGTCTAGGGGACCAGTTCTGGCAGAGGTGGAGTCATGTGGGGAGGGGTGGTGCCAGCCTGAGGGCTCACTCCACTCAAGGGACGAGGACTCCAAGGCCCTGGGATGGGCAGGACCTGCCAGGTGGGAAAGGCCAGGTGGATAAGGCCCCCCACGGGCTGACTCGGCCCTCTGCTGCAGGGGAGCTCAATTAGGACTTTGGACGTGCGCGGGTCAGCACAGGGGCCCACGCCCATGGCTGCGCCTCGCTCCTGCAGCTCGGGTAGCACTGGGCGTGTGCAAGCACAAGGCCACTGAGGCGTGGGGGCGGCTGGGGACTCTCCATGCTCCCCTGGGAGCCAGGGGCTGAGGACAGGCTAAGGGCCCTGGGGAGGGGTGCATTGGGACAAGCACACGCCCTCAGCGCACAGCCAGAGTCGGGGAGGGCACCAGCTCAGTTCAGGATGGCCCTGAGGTCCGTGGTCAGGGCTCAGCACACGGCCAGAGTCGGGGAGGGCGCTGGTTCAGTCCAAGATGGTCCTGAAGTCCGTGGTCAGGGCCGGATCAGTTGCAGCCTCTAGAGCAGCCATTGTTGCTGCAGGGAGCTTCAGACACAGCCGTGCTTGGACTGCAAGAGACGGAGCTGGGGGTCCCTCAGGGTGCCGCAGAGGGCGTCCTCCAGCCTCGCTGGCTGGGCTCTGCAGGGGCGCCTTGGTGGGGGCAGACAAGGACCCCAGGGAGGGCAGGGAAGCGGAGGGAACCATCTGAGGAAGACCTGAGGAGCCTCTTGTGCGGGCCTCCCCAGGGAAGGACGCGCTGGGCTGAGTCGGGTGGAAAGGGAGGTGGGGCTTCATCACGGGGCCTGCGCCCTCCCCCAGCATCACCACCATGCTGACCTGCCCTGAGTGTCCCCAGGAGGGTGCTGTAGGTGCAGGGGTGACGAGCCAGCTTGTGCAGGAAGGCGTGGACACACAGCCACTCTGCAGCCTCAAAGGGGAATGGGCCACCAGCTCCCCTGGTCCCCAGTGTCACCCCTGAGGACAAATCGAGATGAGCAGCACACCGGCCCACCCCACCCAGCCCCGCAGGAGACCCCACATGCCCTGCAGCGCATGGCTAGAATCAGAGGGCGCCAGCTCACAGCCAGCCCAGGGCCAGGGCGCCTCCACCCAGGGCTGCCGACGCCTGGACTCTGCAACGTCCCCATGTGAAAGAGCACTGAGCAGTTGCCACACAGGACCTCGGGATGTGACACAGCCAGACCTTGAGACTCAGCAACGGCTTGACCGGGACAGAGGGACAGAGACACAGTGTGGGGGCAGCCGGGTGCAGAGGCGAGGGCCATGCAGCCACTGTGCTCCTGACCTGGGCTGGGGGCTGCGTGGGGCTGGGGGTCAGGGCCGGCTTCTACCTCATGGCCTGGCCTGACACAAGGACCCCCCAAACACGGGGGGGGGGGGAAAAGCATCCCTGACATGGGGGAGACACAGGGGCAGGTGAGGGCCAGAGGTGGCCAGAGGGTGAGCCGAACTGTGGCATGCACGTGGGGAGAAGGCACTCTTGCCCCGTGAGCGAGGTCGGCTGTGTGGCTCCCGGTCAGGG